CAGAAATAGTACCTTGGGTTAAGAACTTTGCTTCAAGGTGAGAACAGAAATTGTGCTCCAGCGGCGCGGCAGCAGCAGTAGGCCCCATTAGCTAAAGTGGTGCTTCAGGTTAAGAACAGTTTCAGGTTAAGAACGGACCTCCAGAATGAATTAAGTTCTTAACCCGAGGTACCACTGTACTGGTACATGCGTCTTTCTGCATAAGGGTTGCAGCAGTTTCTAACGCACACCATGGCCAAAGCATTTTAGGGCTTTTTAGGCTAACGCTAGCACCATGAATTGTAACTTGAAAGGGCAAGTCACCCATGCTAGGAGACAGGCTGCCAAGTCTCTGCCTTTGGAACAGTCACAGAGGGCAGCCCCATGTGGGGCAGATGCAGTAGTCTAGCTTTGAGGGTGCAAAGGCATGAATGCTAGCTTCCCGGCTTCAATGACACGTGGCTGGGTGTAAGTGATGAATTTTAAGCAGGAAAGTTAGGCCAGTTTCCAGTGAAGTTATAATGTTTGCGTCAGTGAGAAGAATAGGCTTAAACTCCTGTGCTTCCTCCGTTTGCTTCCTTTGATCCTGCTGTCTTAATTAATAACTCTGACATCCGCGTTCTCTCAGAAGATTTATCTCTCTGCATCTGAATGTTTCTCCCTGCCAGCTAAATGAAACAAGTTGATTCATAAAGCAGTTAATGCACTCGAATGTGGTCTGATGTTCTTTCCAGCAATAACAGCTCTAATCGAGGAAGGATCTCTTTTCAGGCACTTGAGCAACAACTGCTTTAAAGATGTCTTTCCAAAGAAATTAATAGCCATTGCGCATTTAAAAGTAAAAATAACCAGTGAAATAACAAAGATATTTTTAAGGTTCAGAAACACTGCATAATGTATATTTTCTTCTTGGAACTTGAGTGGAAAGAAATAGCCTGACTCTGCTTTATATTAAATATCATTTCATCATTAATCATCTTCAGGGGAGAGCGATGGAAAAAAAGGGCCACTGATTGGTGGCACTTCCCCCTGTGAGCAGCAGGGGGCAGGCAAAAGTAGCTCTCCAACTTGTTTGGTCTGCAAGCTTTTTATAGTAAGCCTAACAGATTCGTTTGTCTGGTGCATCACCAATATTCTCATTCCTGCCTAACGTGATGAATTGATTTTCAACAGGGTTTAACTTGCGTAGTAGGAACTAAAATCCGAAACATATTTATACAGACTTGAGTTAGCTATACAAGAGGGGAAAGTAAGAAACAGTGTGACCCCCTTATGCAGGCCTGCTCAAAAGAAAGCTCCATTGAATTAGATGGAGCTTTCCCTCCAGATAAGTGTGTAGAGCGGCCGTGGGGAACCTGTGGCTTTCCAGATGTCCTTGGATCATAACTCCCACCTTTCCTGACCGCAGGCCATTCTGGCTGGGGCTGAGGGGAGCTGGAAGGCCGCACGACCCCCGCTGCTGGTGTATATAGGATCCCAGCCAAAATGAGGTAAACTTGAGTAAAATATGGCGGACAGCAGAGTGAATGGCTGCAATAAAAATATTATTAATGGCAGGGTTTAGTCAAGATTCTGTCACAGCTTCAGAAATTTGGGGTGAGGTAGCCAGGGTGAGAAAATCAAGGCCACATTCGCACATTCCTTTAAAGCACTATGGTACTGCTTTAAACAGTCATGGCTTCCCTAACGAAGAATCCTGGGACCTGTAGTTCGTTCAGGGCACTGAGAGTTCTTAGGAGACCTCCTTTCTCCTCCCATCGCTACAATTCTCAGACTGGATTAACCATCAATCCTTCTTCATGGGAAACTTGGGGAAGTGTAGCTCTGTGAGGGCTCGGGGTTCCCGATCCCTACCTAGCCCGTTCAGTCAACCTCTCCCCATGTAAACCAGCCCAGACTCGGCATCCATCATCAAAGGCCCTTCTTTGTGTACCATGTCATTATTTAGGAGGCAGGTTTAGTCATTGTCTGAAGACTATCCCTGCCTCCGGGTCTGGTCTTGACCGGATGGATATTGGAATCAACAAGGGAAACCCACATGATCTGAAGGTGTTGCTGTGTAATGCTAGGTCAATGATTCATAAGACCACTGCCATCCATGACTTGATCGTGGATGGAGGACTTGACCTGGCATGTATAACTGAGACTTGGTTGGATGAAGCAGATGGGCCTGCCTTAGCTGCTGCTTGTCCACCAGGTTTCTCTTATGCACAGCAAACCAGGACATGTGGGCGCGGAGGGGGGGTTGCAGTGATTTTTAGGAAGTCACTAGCTTGCATCAGGCGTCCTGCTGGGAAGACCCAGTTCTCTGAGTGCATGTTCTGGAGGTTGGGCAATAGGGGCAGTACAGGATTCCTTTTGGTGTACCGACCTCCCTGCTGCACCAAGGATTCCCTGTCCGAGCTGCTTCAGGTCGTGGCGGATGTTCTCCTGGAGACACCTAGCTTGGTTGTCCTAGGGGATTTTAACATCCATGCCGACATGACCTTACAAGGGGCCGCTCGGGACTTCGTGGAAAGCATGGCCTCCACGGGGCTGTCCCTGAATAAGTCTGGCCCAACCCATAGTCACGGACATGCCTTAGACCTGGTGTTCACCTCTAGTGACGTGGGTGATCTGACACTAAGTGAAAGTGAAACAAAAGAAGTGCCATGGTCTGATCACTTCCTGGTGCAACTGGACTTCTCTGCGACCCTTCCCCTCTGCAGGGAGGGATTTTAATAAAAATATGAACAGGACTCCTGTGTTTGCAGAATGCTAGGCCGGTTGGGTCTGCGCGTTAGACAGCCTCGTGTGTCTCTCAACATTCCCCTCTCCAGCTGGGTCTCTCCTGCTTTGCGTAATTGCATATCTGACTTGTCTGAGAGGAGCCTAGTAGCTAGAAAGATCAGGGATTAATTAGTTACATGATGTCACTGCGCATTAAAGGGAACCAGAGCACGTTGGGAGGGGATGCTTTAAAAAAGTGCTTGTTATGACTGATTGAAGTCAGGTGCCAAGAGGCTGCTCTGGCTGAAGAAAGCAGAATGCCAAAACTCCCTCTGTCTGCAGGAGATTCCTGCTTTGAATGCAGCCGCTCTGAACTTAAAAAGCAAACCACATTTCCAGAAATGAAACAGGAGGGTGCAGGATGCAAGAGTGAGGTTTAAAGATACTGTGGCCGCCTCATTAGGTTTTTCTGCTCTCTCTGGGCACTTCTGCACCACCTGTTTACTGAGCACTCTTCCTGAGTCGTTTGCAGGGAGATTAGACGGTGTTGGCTATTTAACAAGCATCCATACAGATTGTTTGCAGGGAGGTTAGACGATGTTGCACCAAAGCAAGAGTTATCTCACGTTTTCCTGTCGTTTTCCTTCTTCAGGGAAAGCCTGGTCTTTGAGGGTTTGTTGTGCAAGACTTCTCAAATCAGCTATTATTGCCCAACCTGCGTTTGGTGGTACGCAGTTTGGATCCCACCCCGAAATAGCGACAGTCGGAAAGCCTGGTTTCCCTTGGATCGGCACTTGCATATCGCCGAAAGAAAGAAGAAATGCATTACCGAAAAAGAGGGGGCAGGATTTGCATATCATTTCCCTTTTCTGATTTAGAAATAATTGTCGTAATTTAAGTTGAAACACAGTGCATTTCGCCATAGTAAGGAAGAGTGTGTCCAGGTGACCTTTGGGTACCTAACTGCTCGGTCTGTTGTCCAGCTGCAGGTATAACCATTGATGGGCAACTTTGAGGCCCCTCCTGCTCTCCTTTCGTAGGGTTCTTTATTTTCAAATTGGACTTAAGAGTGGGCAACCCCTCCAAAAGAGGCCTGTCCTCCGTAATGTAGGGCAGATGGTCACCCTCTAGAATGTATGACTTGTGGGAGCCATCACATATCAGGAGAAATGCGTGGGACAAGCTTTCAAGTGGTCCGTCCCCCGTACCCCCCATTTTTCCCCATCTCCTTGATTCTCAACTAAAGCAGCTGTAAGTTTTGCTTTGTTTCCACAATTGGATGTGTGCTAATTTGGGCTGGCAGAATTTCAGGCAGAAGTAAACAAGCCATCCCAACCTCTCCCTGTGGGCCAAGGGTTTCATATCCATATTCTAATATTATCTTGCCATTAATGATTTGGCTGCGAGTTGGATATAGGGCAGGGGGTGGTTGACTTTGGCCAACCTAAATGGTCACTGCCGATTGCACTATATTGTGTCATCTGACTTACGAGGTGAGAGGTGACAGAGTGACATTAAGTGAAGGATTTGTCTGCCAATATGGCGACACTCGTTTCTAGGCCAGGGTGGAAAATATGATCTTTTCCTGTCCACAGGTTAAGTGGCAATGATTTGTGGGTCTCTGAGTAAGGGGGGAAAGAACGGCATGATGAATACTTCTGTGGTTCAAGAATTCAGGCTTCTCCCTCTTGACCATCAACTGAAAGCATCACTGCTGGTTTGAGAGAAAAAACTCACGAAGCTACAGGATTGATATGGATTGTGGTTAACATTGTGTGTATGTGGATTCAAACATTTAAAGCAATTTCATAGTACTTTAAACAGCCATGGCATCTCCCAAAGAATCTTGGGAATTGTAGTTTGCAAAAGTTGTTAAGAGTTTTTAGGAGCGCTCTTGCAGTTCTCTTTGAAGGGGGACTGATGGATAAACCACTCTAGAAATTGTAGTGCTGTGTATTGGTCTAACAACTCCCAGCACCCTTTACAAAGATCAGTTCCCAGAATTCTCTGGGGGAAGCCATGAAGAGATTAAACAAACTGAGGATTGGTCTATAGTTCTATGAACAGCAGGGCTGGCTGAAGACATTTTGCTAGCTGAAGTGAAGGTCAAGATGGTGCTCTTCCCCTTACCATTATTGTAATCATTAAGAATGAATTTCTGTTTATTATTTTCCAACACAAAATTTTACTGTGTACTATTATATTCCGTTGGAAGCTCCTGCAGCCAATCAGAAGCCACAGAAGCAGACATTCAGGTTCCAAAAGAACGTTCACAAACCGGAACAATCACTTCCGGGTTTGCGGCATTCGGGAGCCAAAACATCTGAGTTCCAGGGTGTTCGACAACCAAGGTATGACTGTATTTTGCTGCTGTAAACCGCCTTGTGTATAGTTATCTAGAAAGGCAGTATACAAGTAAAAAGTGAAATGAAATTCCCTGGACAGACGGGAGTCGAGACTGGCACAAAAAACTTACTTCAACCCCAGTGACAAAGGGGCAGAGTTAGTATCATGTCTGAAAGTCTTGAGTCTCCCATGGATGTTGTCCTGGGATAAAGCCACGTGTCATTCCACGCAACTGCAGTTTATTGTGGCTGCCAATCAGAAAAGCATCTCAAGTCACAGCCCCAGAACAAAGTAATCACAACCATGTCTTTTCTTCGCAGGCGCTAAATAAATAAGCGAAAATCAGAATGTTAGATGGGAGGAGCGGCATTCTTGCCTGCAGCATTGAAAAGAGATTCTGGCTGTTTACACAGAGCAGAGGTGTCACATAGCAGCTGTTTGCTGTGAAGACCTGAGAACTTAATCTCCCATGTGCAATTAAAACCTTCAGAAGAGAGAGGCAGGTGTAAACGCCTCCGACATTGCTCATTCCAGGCTTGTTTGACATACACTTTCAGGAGCATGCTTGTTGAGGCAGTGTTGTGGTAAGAAAAGGGGTGTGCAGCCCGTGCAAAGAGAGGAGCAGGGGTGTGCTGAAAGTACTTGCTGGAAGATTAATAATAATAATAATAATAATAATAATACCCCACCCATCTGGCCAGGCCTCCTCAGCCTCTCTGGGCAGCTTCCAACAGAATATTAAAAACACGATAAAACATCAAACATTAAAAACTTCCCTAAATAGGGCTGCCTTCAGACATTTTCTAAAAGTCATGTAGTTGTTTATTTCCTTGACATCTGATGGGAGGGCATTCCACAGGGCGGGCGCCACCACCGAGAAGGCCCTCTGCCTGGTTCCCTGTAACCTCACTTCTCACAGTGAGGGAACCGCCAGAAGGCCCTCGGCGCTGGACCTCAGTGTCCGGTGTCTGGACCTCAGTGTCCAGTGTCCTCAGCTGAACCATGGGGCTGGAGACACTCCTTCAGGTATACAGGACCGAGGCTGTTTATATCCAAAACGTTATATCCACGGGAATGCCGGAAGCTGACATATACTTACTCAGGCCATTCCCCAGTACCTGCTACAGTGGTACCTCGGTTTACGAACTTAATGTGTTCCGGAAGTCCGTTCTTAAACTGAAACCGTTCTCAAACCGAGATGTGCTTTCCCTAATGAGGCCTCCTGCCGCTGGTGCCCTTCCACTGTTCAGCTTCCGTTCTTAGACCGAGGTAAAGTTCACAGACCGGGACACTACTACCAGTTTTGCGGAGTTCGTAAACCGAATAGTTCATAAACAGGGCTGTTCTTAAACCCAGGTACCACTGTACTTTTGAGACCCGTAAGCTGGAGATGCCTGGGATCTAGAATCATAGAATCATAGAATCATAGAGTTGGAATAGACCACAAGGGCCATCGAGTCCAACCCCCTGCCAAGCAGGAAACACCATCAGAGCACTCCTGACATATGGTTGTCAAGCCTCTGCTTAAAGACCTCCAAAGAAGGAGACTCCACCAAACTCCTTGGCAGCAAATTCCACTGTCGAACAGCTCTTACTGTCAGGAAGTTCTTCCTAATGTTTAGGTGGAATCTTCTTTCTTGTAGTTTGGATCCATTGCTCCGTATCCGCTTCTCTGGAGCAGCAGAAAACAACCTTTCTCCCTCCTCTATGTGACATCCTTTTATATATTTGAACATGGCTATCATATCACCCCTTAACCTCCTCTTCTCCAGGCTAAACATGCCCAGCTCCCTTAGCCGTTCCTCATAAGGCATCGTTTCCAGGCCTTTGACCATTTTGGTTGCCCTCCTCTGGACACGTTCCAGTTTGTCAGTGTCCTTCTTGAACTGTGGTGCCCAGAACTGGACACAGTACTCCAGGTGAGGTCTGATCTTCTGCCTTCAAACCACTGAGCTATGGTTTGCTTGAGTTTGCCTACTTTAACTCTCGTCCTGTCTCTCCTTCCTTGCTGGCATTTCAGAGGCATTCCCTTCACACACACCCCAGCTCTCATTGTTGCTGTGGCATCTAGTTAAAGTGCCATTATGCTTCATGCGCCTGAGCGGGCAAACTGGTTTAAGAGCCTCTGGTCATACTGAATCGTGTGCCTTATCGCTCTGAATCACTCCCATGAACTTATAGGTCCTATGCTCCACGGGAAAGCCAGTTTACCTTTGTAACACGATTTATAACACCATGCTTCACAGGACTGTTCTCACCTGCCTACCCCCTACCTTCCGGCAGGACTATTTGACACAGGCCAATGCGTTTCTCTCCTTACGCGCACTGGGAAAAACAGATTTGTTGCGCTGCTGGTGGGCCATCCATAGCCAATGGGCTGTTTCAGATTTTGTGGGCCGATGCTGCCCTGGACAAAATCCAGGCATCCAGAATCTGATTTTGCTTTTTTGCTAGATCCCTGAGATTAAGATATGCCTAGAGCTTGGTGCGAAATACATACACTTAGAATGGAAGAATTGTGCACCCAGCAGTTTGTTTTAAGTCCCAGAACTGAATGGAACTCAGAGTCTTCCGCACACAGATGCCCTATCCACACCTTTTCTTCATTTCGGCGGTATAACTTAGGGAGGTAGAATCATATTTTTTTGTGGCCGACTTTATGAAACAGCTGGGAGTCAGAAAGCCTGACTGAGCAGAGGAACAGAAACTCACAGCAGGATGACTTTGTGAGATGGGCAAGTCTGACAAATCCCTATGGCTACCTCTTTTTTTTGACGTTTGCAGGGTATATCTCTTTCTCTCTCTCCTGATGGCTTGCAATCTCAAGTTCTCTCAAAGCTGGATAAATTATGTCCTGGGCCCCCTGATAAAATCATTACGAGGGAACTGAATTGCTCCTGTGGTTGCACGCTTCCTTTTCCTGAAATGCCATTAAGAGGATCAAGTGCATTTGTGTTTATTCAAGAGGGTTTCCTAGCAGGTTTCTGATGTAAGAGGGAAAATGGGAGAGGAATAGGAAGGTGGGGGAGAGAAGCGAGAGGCTGATTTGGGTTGATAAGTTGCAAGTGAAAACTGGAACCCTAACCCTTCTCCCCACAGCCCACACGTACACTTACAAGCCTTTAGTGGCACAAGCATACTCTTGAGGTAAGGTAAAGGGACCCCTGACCATTAGGTCCAGTCGTGGCCGACTCTGGGGTTGCGGCGCTCATCTCACTTTATTGGCCGAGGGAGCCGGCATACAGCTTCCGGGTCATGTGGCCAGCATGACTAAGCCAATTCTGGCGAACCAGAGCAGCGCACAGAAACACCGTTTACCTTCCCGCTGGAGCAGTACCTATTTATCTACTTGCACTTTGACGTGCTTTTGAACTGCTAGGTTGGCAGGAGCTGGGACTGAACAATGGGAGCTCACCCCGTCGCGGGGATTCAAACCGCCAACCTTCTGATCGGCAAGCCCTAGGCTCTGTGGGTTAACCCACAGCGGTATGCTTAGGATAAATGGAAGGCACTTCCTGCTAGGTTGTATAAGAGCACCAGCTTCTTCTCCTTTCTACACTTTGATGCTCTGGGCTGGACTTTTATTCTGGAACCTTCCACAGAACTCAGCAGATCTGGAGCACGTCCATGCAGGGGCAGTTGGGTATACTTGCCCTAGACCTTGGAGGGCTAAGTTGGTCGGGGGCCCCCCAAGGGACCGGCTGCTTTATTCTAGCAAGGCCCTGGGCCTCGAACAAGATCTACACTGCAGGGTTCGAAATTAGCAGGGCACCAGGCTTATTTTGAGCCTAAAGATTATCCATTTGCAAACTCCTCAAAAAGTCTGGGTGCCATTTTTTTGCACTTGGCTGACACTCAAGGATTACTGAAATGCACGTGCTTTGAAGCCTCGAAGTAGATGTTAAGGACAGACAATATGTTAAGGCATTTAACAATAAAGAGTAGAGTGTTTTGAAGACTGAAGTATGGTACCAATATTGTTATTGTAAACGGGGTGGGAGAGCCTTTTTCCAGACCGAGGCCCACATTGCCCTAGGAGCAACCTCCTAGGGGCCACATGTCAGTGGTGGTGGTGGTGGAGGACAGAAGTGAAAGTGGGTGGAGCTACACAGATCATGTGATCTTTGTACAGTAGGCTCCATCCCAACCGGACAAATGTGAAAGTGTTCTTCGCACACATCTCCTCAACCCCGCAGCTGGAGCACAAGCTGCAAGAGCAATATGATAGGCGAGATCGCTGTGGAGGAAGGAAAGCTCCAAAGAGGATGGGTTGGGGTTGCTATCATCCCCTCTCCCCTGCCTCAGAGGGAAATGCAGCCGGCACAAGACAAATCCAATCCTTTGGCTGTTCAGCTATTGGCATGGAAAAAGGCAAAGCAGCAGAAATAGAACCCGCAACTCCCACTTGGACCACTGTGCACAGCAACACTCTGACAGTCTCTGGAGCACATGCAAGAGAAACTCACAAGGGCATTTTTTCAGTCTCTCAGGGGCCTTAACCCAGTTTCACCTCTCAGTGTCTCATTTTTCCACTCTTGTTTTCCACATTTCCACATCAGTTTGCAATTTAACAAACAAACAGCTGGCTAGCTCAGTTGGGTTAAAGTGTGGTGCTGATGACACCCAGGTTTGACTCCCTTATGGGACAGCTGCAGGGTGTCGGAATAGATGATCCTCAGGCTCTCTTGCAACTCTACAATTCTATGAAAAGAACCCGTCCTTTATATTGCATGTTCATGTTGATTTGTGTTCTTAAAGCTGTTGGGGGGCAGTCACACTACAGTGGTACAGTGCGGACAGGGTCCATTCCGGAGGTCCGGTCAGATCCCGAGGTTTCCGCAACCTGAGGACCGCTTCTGCGCATGTGCACATGGCAAAACCAAGTAAAATACTTCCGGGTTTGCTGCTTTCGCATCCCAAAGTTTATGTAACCAGAGGGTTACGTAACCGGAGGTACTACTGTATTTCAATAACAATTTGCAGCTGCAAAAGTTTTTGGGTGGTTGCATGGGTTCATTTCCTGTCAGTGCATGTACTGCAGCTCCCTGCTGAAACCCTACAACCATTTATGCCACAAATGCTCTGGTTTCCTTCTTGCTGCTATTTGTTGGCTATAGGACCCCCAGCCAGCAGTAACAGGGAATCGTCGAGGAAGCATCGCAGAACAAACTAAAGGAGAACAAATCCACCACAAACGCACTATTATTGTGCTGCAGAAGACAACTCACAATAAAACATCAGTCTGGAGGGCCCTGAACCGCTGGCCACAAGGACAAAGCAGGCTCGCTTAATTTCAACTTGAGTCTGCAAAGTACAGCATCAGTTCTCTGCAGTTGCAGGAGCTTTAGTTTCCTCGGCTAGTTTTTTTGGCTGCTAGATTTCTTTTTATCGCTTCCCCAACTACTCTTAGGATCCCGTAGCAGCCTCCTCCAGAAAGATTAGGGGAGTATTTAAGGAAGAAAATGGCCTCCGATTCCATTAGCAGCAGCAGCTTTCCTTTCAAC